GAGAGAGAGAGAGAGAGAGAGAGAGAGAGAGAGAGAGAGATGAGGAGATGAGAGATGAGAGAGAGAGTGAGAGAGAGAGTGAGAGAGAGAGATGAGAGAGAGAGCAGTGATGAGAGAGAGAGAGAGAGAGATGCAGTGATGAGAGAGAGAGAGAGAGAGTGAGAGAGAGAGAGAGAGAGAGTGAGAGAGAGAGAGAGGATGAGAGGAGAGAGAGATGCAGTGAGAGAGAGAGAGAGAGGAGAGAGATGAGTGATGAGAGAGGAGAGAGAGATGCAGTGATGATGAGAGAGAGAGAGATGCAGTGATGAGAGGAGAGAGAGAGAGAGAGAGAGAGATGTGATGAGAGAGAGAGATGAGAGAGTGATGAGAGAGAGAGAGATGCAGTGATGAGAGAGAGAGGAGAGAGTGATGAGAGAGAGATGAGGATGAGAGAGAGAGAGGAGAGAGAGAGAGAGATGCAGTGATGAGAGAGAGAGATGCAGGCAGAGAGAGATGCAGTGATGAGAGAGAGAGAGAGAGATGAGAGAGAGAGAGAGAGAGAGATGAGTGAGAGAGAGAGATGAGAGAGAGAGAGAGTGATGAGAGATGCAGTGATGAGAGAGAGAGAGAGATGCAGTGTGATGAGAGATGAGAGAGAGATGTATTGATGAGAGAGAGAGAGATAGTGAGTGATGACGAGAGAGATGTAGTGATGAGAGAGATGTATTGATGATGAGAGAGAGAGAGAGAGAGAGAGAGAGATGAGAGAGAGAGAGATGATGTGATGAGAGAGAGAGAGATGCAGTGATGAGAGAGAGAGAGATGCAGTTATGAGAGAGATGTAGTGACGAGAGAGGGATGAGATGTGATGAGAGAGAGATGAGAGAGAGAGAGAGAGAGAGAGAGAGAGAGAATGGTGTAGTGACGAGAGAGAGAGATGCAGTGAGAGAGAGAGATGCAGTGATGAGAGAGAGATGAGGATGAGAGAGAGAGAGAGAGAGAGAGAGAGAGATGTAGTGATGAGAGAGATGATTGATGAGAGAGAGAGAGAGAGATGAGATGAGATGGTGATATATAGAGAGAGAGAGAGAGAGATGCAGTGACGAGAGAGAGATGCAGTGACGAGAGAGAGAGATGCAGTGACGAGAGAGAGAGATGCAGTGACGAGAGAGAGAGGATGCAGAGAGAGATGCAGTGAGAGAGAGATGCAGTGACGAGAGAGAGAGATGCAGTGACGAGAGAGAGAGAGATGCAGTGATGAGAGAGAGGGAGATATGCAGTGACGAGTGAGAGAAATGTAGTAGGTATGAGAGAGATGAGAGGGAGGAGAGAGAGATAGTGATGAAAGAGAGAGAGGGGGGAAATGTAATGATTACAGAGAGAGAAATGTGATGAGATAAATGTAGTGATGAAAGAGAGAGGGGGAGAGAAGAGGAGAGAGAGAGGGAGGGGGAGAGAGAGGGAGGGAGAGAGAGAGAGAGAGAGAGAGAGAGAGAGAGAGTGAAAAAAGAGAGGGGGAGAAATGTAGTGATGAGAGAGAGAGAGAGAGAGAGTGGGGGAGGGAGGGAGAGAGGAGAGGGGGAGGGGGAGAAGGGAGAGAGAGAGGGAGAGGGGGGATAGTGGGGGAGGGGGAGATAAAAGGGAGTAAGGACAGAAAGGAAGAGGTGGAAATTGAGAGTGAAAAGTTGGAAGTAAAGGGTGATAGAGTGAGGGAAGGAAGGAAGGAAGGAAAATAGCGATGACATATTTTGTATCATTACGATTGCACAGCTCTTGAATTTTCTAGTGTGCCTAGACTAAGGCTGGCCATACACTGTACAATTTTCTTGAGAATTTTGCTTTAGATTTACCAAAAACTACATAATATGAGGTCAAACTTAAAATAACACTTTCAATTGTATCCAATGAGGAAGGCCCTTGCACTTCAAAGTTGAAGGTAAATCTAAAGGAAACTGGGCAGAAATTGGACAGAACATTGTATAGTGTATGGCCAGCCTAAGGAATAGTTCTCAGCATTTGAAAATAAATAGTAAGGATTCCTTGAATAGTCACAAATGTAGCCAGCTCCAGCACATGCAACAATGTCAGCACAGGCTCCGCCCCTGGGAGCGGTATCGCGTGCGCTGGAGCTGGAAACATTGGCACGTTTTTCTTGGTGGCTGGGGTGGAGAAGAGACGCATAACTATTCAGTGTGGGTGCACTCTGTGCTTCCTCTCTGAATTCATCAATCAGGTTCACACATCTCTGAGTGGATTTCATGTAGAGACAAAGCACCATAACCCAACAGGAAAATTCTTGCAGAGGAGACGATTGACTCTGACCAAACAATGTATGTTTTGTGCTACCGTCACATGGTGGTGAAAATATTAGGTGATGGGTATTGGTGGTGCCCAAACACTGTAAACCCAGCAGAAACAAATACTGTATAGCACAGGATGAATTCTACTTTAACAGACATTTATGTGCAACTGTTACATGGCTGCAAAAGAACAGGGTATTACAGTAGGTGTGGATGGTGCCCAAGCACTACATGCTAACAGAAAAATTCCTGCAGAGAACAGGATGGATCTTTAATAATAAACATGTATTGTTTATTAATTGTTAAATAACTGAAAAAATTGGATTTCAGTTGTGGATGGTGCCAAATGGTTATGGTCTGAACACCCCTGTTCGGTTCGCGGTAGAACATTCAAACCTACTGTGAACATCGAACATAATGAAAGTCTATGGGACTGAACTTATATATTAAAAAGGCTTACATGCAAGTTATTGGCCATAAAAGGGTATGGGGACTCGGGTACTGCCCTGAGGGACATGAATCAGTAAAAACAAAATGTCAAAAAGTACCATTTTTGAAGGGGTAGTCATTTTTCATTGCTTAAAGTAAAAAGAAAAAAAAAATTAAAAATTCCTTTAAATATCATTCCTGGGGGTCCCCTTAAACTACCTGCATAGTTGCACATCTGTACAATGTATAGAACCTGCTGCAGCAGGTGTGGCATTTAAAAAGAAAATTAAATTTTTATAAAATAAAAAAAAAAAAACAGCATGGGGTCCCCATCCCCAATCCACACCAGACCCTTTAGGTCTAATAGGAAGGTTAGGAGGGATCCCACAGTAGGACTTTTAAGGGGAACCCCACCTCCCAAAATTGGGGGAAAAGAGTGCATGGGGTTCCCCCTAAAAGCCATACCAGGCCGTTTAGGCCTGGTAGGAAATTTAAGGGGAACCCCACCCCCAAAACTGGGGGAAAAAATCATGGGGGTCTCCTCTAAATTCCTATTTGACCCTTGATCCAAGCACAGGCCTGGCAGGCATGGAAAGTAGGGGGATGAATGAATGCCCCCCTACCTATGGCTTACCAGGCCATGTGCCTTCAGCATGCCGATGAGGACAAGGGCCTCTTCCCTACAACCCTGGCCTAGTGGCTGTGGGGGTCTGTGGGCAGGGGGGCTCATTAGCATCAGCGTACCCCTTTAAATATGAGGGGCACTCTGATGCTGCCTCCACCCCTTGTGAATGAATAAGGAGTACTTGTACCCCTACTCATTCACTAAAGGGTTAAAAGTTTGAAAAAATAAAGACTAGACTTTTGAAAAAATCCTTTATTGAACAAAAAACAAGAACACCGTTTTTGACAAGTACTTTATTTAAAAAAACAAAGAAGCAAAAAAAATGGTTCCAGCGTAGTAATCCATCGCCAATCATGGCATCCAGCATCGTCACTACGATTACGACTCACCGAAATGAAAAGAAAAAACAATGCCCACCACCTGTCCGCACTTGCCAGTCACCACTAGCTCTGGACAATTGTGAATGTCTAACCAGCAACTGTCATAACTGTCATTAACAATTGGGCAGAGATAGCGGTGACATTCTTGCTAGCTCTGCCCAATTGCCATGAGCCATGATTGGCCAAAGTCACTGAGAACTCAGCTGTGATTGGCCAAAGCATTGCACCTGACCTGTGGTCAGGTGCAATGCTTTGGTCAATTAAAATGCGCCGCCAGCGTGCATTGCATTTTGGGGCAAGCAGGCGAATGGCCCGCCAAACGCCCCAGATGTTCGTGTGTTCAGTGAACACACAAACATGCAATGTTTGATTCGAACATATAGACCATTCCTAATGCTAAACACTGCAACCCCACAAAAAATTCTGCAGAAGACAGGACAGACCCTTTTAAACAAAATGCACTATATTTGCAACTGTGAAGTAGCTGCTAAAAATTGTGGGTGCCAAATTAAAATTCTTGTTGCAAAGAACAGCAGCTAATGCCCCCTTTTTAGACTGTAATGGTAGCAGGCCTGCAACAGTGGAAAGAGATGTTATCAGAGGCCGGTAGTGGGATTTACTAATGGTGGCACGGTGTGCTTGTAAGCCATGTACCGGGGTGGGCTCCCCAGGATACAGTGAAGTCACGAACGAGGAAAGCAACCCCAACACCAGCTTTTGCCACAACAGAATTTTACTTAGATGTGGCAAATAAACACAACCACAAATGCTGGAAACATACAATAAATTTACATACACCCAGGCCAAAGGCTGAGACCCTTGTGCTGCACAGCACGGCACCTTTTGATGGATGAAGGTAGAAAGTGAAGTAATAATTTACCTACTGGTGGGCACAACTAAGCTGCCACACCTTACCTGTTATTACCCTAAAAGAGCAGGAATCAGTGTATGGGTGTACGGTATGGGCTAGCCTGCGGTGCAGCACAACAGCTTACAATCTTACACAAATCTACAGTATTCTCTTTCCCATAACTTGTCCTGTAACACACGTGCCTGAGTATTCCTTCTGGGCAAAACGCCAGTCTGGCTTGAGTTTGTAGGATTTTATCAGCTCTCCAATGTGAAATGTCACTTTAAGTTGTGGAGTCCTTCCAATGATCAGTAACAACACTTGTGGCTGACACAAACAGAGACCCTAACTAACTAACTAACTAACTATAGGCCTGGACTCAGTCTCAGGGCCCCAACACTGAAATGAGGGGCGTGCACGATCTTACCGACCCGGGTCTGCTTTGCATCCGCTGGTGACTTTGAACAGAACAAATGTCTCTCCAACAAGCATGCAGTCTTGCGTATATTTTGCTTAGTTCCTCTGCTCTCATCAGCCTTCCTGGCAGCAATCTCATCAGCATTCCAGGCAACAATCTCATCAGCTTCCTGGCAGCAATCTCATCAGCTTCACTTAGCTGCAGCTCTGGTTACGGAGGAACGCTTTCACACCTGGATGTCATCAGATTCTCAGTTCACAGGTCCCCTTATTCACCATGCTTCAAAACATGGCTTCTCTCTCTCCTTCCTGTTCTCTCCAACTCTGTGTGTAAAAAAAAAAAAAAAAACCCACCTCTTCATGAATATAGAAATATCTATGCAGTCTGACACTGTTAGAAAAACAGTGACATCTTGTGGCTAAACCGCAGAATGTCAGTCACAACATTAATTTACTTCCACACAAACAGTGTTCAAACAATGAGAGCTGTTTCCCCATCTCACATGCTCATAGAGACTGGACATGGAAATGGTGGCAGCATGTGTGATATTTTTTGTGGCCTGCAATAGTAAAATGAACAGCTTTGGATGAAGCCAAAGAAAAAAAAACATGGAGGGTGGCAGGATCCCCCAAATAGTTTATTAAAGGTATCTGCAGAAGGAGCTTTGTAGCTTCTGCTGATCTATTGGTTTATTGTCGCAAATGTCAACTGGTCAACAGTGTCCATGGACAGACGCATTCTTTTGTCTGTGACAAAATCCCCCTACTGCATTGAATGTATGTTCAGAAAGCATGATGCAGGGCAGCCAAGCAGCTTAATAGCTTGCTGAGCAAGTTCAGTAGTCAAAGGGGTCATCCATTTGAAGGGTCTCTGTATCCACTCCCTTAGATAATTGGCCTCATGTGATGCAGCCTCTGATGATAGATGCTGGCATCCCTGGTTGCTGAGGACTGAAACTTTAAAGGCATTCTCAAGCAACCACTCCCACTGCTGCTCATCCTTTCATTGATAGGATGCTCTGAGACATCTTGTTCAAGACATTTTATTCTGCCAGCCAGCTGCATATTTACCACAAGGCAAACAAGGCATTTGCCTAGGGTGACGATTTTCAGGGGGCGACTCCACCTCTCGGAAGAATGGACACAAGCGGCAGGGATGGGGACCTGGTCAGCTCCATCATGAGATCTTGAGGAGGCTGTGCACTGCTGGAAGGTGCAGAGATAGTTGGCTGCTTCTTTCATTATTGATGTTAAGGTTAGTCTATGAATTAGGTGGTCGTGGTGTGGCAGGCGCAGCACCCTTTGGTGCCTTGTGCGCTGTGGCATTAGAAAAATTTATGCAATTGCTGTTTCTTTGTTGATTAGACTGACTTTACTCTGTAATTCCTCCAATGCCGCTCTATGGATGCAGTAGGTTTAAAGAGCACACCGAATACTTTAGTTAACTTCTTTAATAACTTCAATCTTCTTCATATAACACTGCTTACAATGGCTTGTTTCATTTATCATACAGTAGCTTATTTCTTTATATTACAGTGGTTTGATTCGATAGCTTATCTCGATAGGTTCAATAGATTCGATAAATTTGTTCTGTATATTTCGATAGATTGATAAATTCACTTGGATTTATAAATTCGTTATATTCAATAAGTTCATAAGTTCGGTGGAACTACAAGTAAACACATACAACAGTTTTTACATACAGATCTACCTGCATTACTAAACAACAGAGGAACACACAAGTGCATTAAATACCTATTTGGCCTGCTCTGCTTCCATAAAGCTTTTCTGATTGGAACTCTGTCTGTTTCCTCTTCTGTCTGGTGAGCATGTGTCTCTAGAAAATCCTAGCAGGGAGTTTTACACAGGCATAAATGTGAAACTGGCTGGGATTTGGTTAAGGCTCTGTACAGTATGAGGCTGTCTGTGATTGGCTCATCTTTAACTAACTCTTAAAGGCATATTTTCCTTTTCTGCTTCTGCTAACACAATGAATATATAAATGTCATATAACAATCAAAGACATAAATTACAGCAATGATTTTTGCTTTTGGCTTTAACATATGCACATATACACTGTACTGAGGTTATTGGCAGGTTTGGTATAACACATATATGTGAACCATATTTGCAACTAGGACTGGTCTTAGCTGGCCAGCTACACTCCCACCAAAATTACCTATAATTTCTATGTTCTCTATAATAGGATTCGAACATGAATTTGAGGAATTTTCCATCAGTTTCTCAATTCTCAAGTGTCTTTGTTACTCTCAAGTTGGAACGTCCAATACAAAAGTTAGTTGTTCTGCTTGAGTGGAGTTGTGAGACGTTTTCCTTTTTGTCGAGTTTTTTGAGTCTCCCATTTGTAACAAAACTCTTCTTACTAGTCCTTCGTCCTTTCGAGCTTCTAGGACTTTGGCCAATTTCCATTGACTTCTAGGTAATTGTTCTTCCTTTACTAACTACACTATGTCATCAACATGAACATTTCTTCTAGGCATTTGCCATTTACTTCTTAGTATGAGATAAGCTAAGTACTCCTTACTCCATCTATTCCAAAACTGCTCTGATAGATATTGAACTCTTCGCCATCTTTTCCTTGCATATAAATCCTCTTTGGTGAAGTTGCCAGGTGGTGGCTGTATGTAGTCAGCTTTAAGGTGAAGTAGATGGTTGGGAGTGTTAGAGGTTCCAAGCTTGTTTGGGTCATTGATGTTGATGACTGTTAACAATAGACATTACTTCATAGAATAGTGTCCTAAGTGAAGCATCATCTAATCTTCCGGCGTTCTTTTTCAAAAACTGAACTAGTACGTTTCTTACAGTTCTGATTTGCCTCTCCAGTGCTCAATGTTTGAACTACCTTTACTTCTGGATCACCCATAGACAGTTCTGTATAACCTTCACTGGGTATGATTTCCCTTTCCCAAAAGAAACTCTGGACCGGTGAACCAGTTTGCATTCTTCAATTCTGTTACATTTAGGCCTCTTGAAGCATGATCTGCCGGGTTTTTGCTTTGTGTCAACATAGTGCCAATGTTCTGGAATTGTTGCTTTTCGAATTTTTTTGAACTCTATTAGCGACAAAGGTGTGGAATCTTCGAGCTTCATTGTTTTCTAGGACAACTTGTGAGTGTCTGTCCAAAAATGTTCTTCATCTATTTTCAATTCCAGTTCTTCTTTCAGAAACTGACTTACTGATGCTGAAACGACGGCTGCCGTTAGTTCAGAGTCTTGGTATTGTCTGAATATTGTTGGGTGCTACTCTGGCCTTTCCCATAACTAGGGCACAGTGTATCTTTTCCTTCTCCTATTGCTCTGATGTAGGAGCACTGACCATAACCATGACTACTGGCATCTGAAAAGTGATGAAGTTCTATTTTCTTTGTACTTGTACTTTCCGAAATCAGGAGGTACAAAATATCTGGGTATCCGAATTTCTTTCAAATTTTGCAAGTCTCTTATCCAACTCTCCCACCTTGGCCTCAAGCCTGCAGGTATGGGTTCGTCCCATCCCAACTTCTGTCTGCATAATTCTTGCAGTATTTCTTTTGCTCTGAGGATTACTGGTGCCAAGAATCCCAACGGATCATATATTTGAGGCTACTGCGGAAAGAATGGTACGTCTAGTTTGGAACATTCTCTTCCATGGATATTTCAAAGAAAAAATTGTCGTTTTCTCTGCATTCCATCCCAATCCGAGTACATTCTGAACTGGAAGAGGAGATCATAGTTAAGATCCACATTCTCTTTATTGTTGATGCACGTTCGGAGTCACTGATGGATTCTAGTACCTTTTCTGTCGTTTGAGATGAATTTGTGAAGACGCAGGTTTGCCTTTGTGCATAACTCTTGGCTCTCTCTCACCAATTGAATGGCAGATTCTGAGGATTCTAGGCTTATAAGACCATCATCTACATAAAAGTTTTTCTTCAAAAAAATTTGCTGCTGATGGACAATCCTTTTCATTTTGATTGGCCAGATACTTCATACCATAATTGGCACAACCTGGGGATGATGCTGCTTCAAACAAGTGTACTTTCATCCTGTATTCTGCTGGCTCTGTATCTGTATCTCTGTCTTCCCACCATAGGAACCTCAGGAAGTCTCTATCTTCTCCTTCACATGAAATTGGTGGAACATCTTTTCAACGTCACACATGACTGCTATGGGATACTTTCTGAATCTAAAGAGTACTCCAGGTCCAGGTACAGTGTTTGTTTTGTAAGATCTGGTCCCTTTTTAGTAGTAGATGATCGTTCAATGCAACATCATTGTACCTTGCTGAGCAATCAAAAACTACTCTGATATTATCTGGTTTCTTTGGATGATAAGACACCTTGATGTGGGATGTACCACACTTCTCCATTTTTAGGCTGACCATCAACTTTCTCTGCATGCCCTTCTTTGAGGATTTCTTTCATGAAATTCAAATAATCGTCTTTGAGTTTGGGATCTCTTCCCATCCTTTTTCTTTAAGCTTTTCAATCTTGCCAGGGCAAGATCTCTGTTATTTGGCAGATGAGGTCGTTCTCTAAAAGGTAGGGGCATTTTCAAGATGACCTTGTTGATTTTGCTGAATATTATCTTCTAGAACTTGAACAAACTTTATGTCCTCTTGGGAGACATTCTTTTCATTACAACTTACGTCTGCAAAGTCGGATTCTAGGATTTTGAGTACTTTCGCTGGACTTACAGTTGGTAACTCTTGGACAGATATTCTATGACACTATAAATCCTGTCACCTATCCTGAATCTGCAATCTGTCGTTTTCCTCCAACAACACCCCATCCTAGATCAGTCTGGACTGCGTAGGGTTCACCCTTTCCTCCTGCGATTATCTTTCGTGGCACCAAGGCCTCGGGACAGTCGTAGCCTATCAACAGTCCAACACCAAATTCCTTCAGCGGGGACATTTCATGAGATATGACAGATAGGTGTTCCCATTTGTTGGCTGTTTCACAGGTAGCAATCAATACCAAATTAAAAGAGAAAAAAGCGCCATTTACAAAAAACACCAAAGTGTCAGCAGCATATCCCACCCAAAATAAATTTTGGCAACAATAATCCTAATTAAAAGGTATGCACTAATAACAAACTTATACAAAGGTGTATATCATCATCCAAAAAAACATTTAGTGTTTTAAATAAATAATTATAGTGTCCAAACGTAAATTAGTGTCCAAAAAAAAATAAAATATATTAGTGTCCAAAAAAAAAAAAAAATATATATACTGAGTACCGCCCCTTGATGACGTCAGTGTGACGAAACCGGTTGGGCGTGGCCTACTTGATGTGGACGTTAGAGAGCCTTGCTGTTCTGTGTTGTATGGGAGAGATCCGCGGTGAGCGGTAATTGTATCTCACCTTTTTTGCGATTGAAGCTGGT